GGGCCCGAGCTGTATGTCCGTGCCAAAGGCCTCTCCCGCCCATCGATCGCCTCTGGGCTGACTCGTGCAAGCGGTTCTCCGCGTATCGATGGTGGCCAGTAGCCGGCACTGGTTTGCCGGATGCTGCAGCACACGATAGCTGTGACGCGACAGATACCCCTCTGTGCTGCTGAGCGGGTCCCCGACGCGTGCGCGTGGACGGAATTCGACCCGCGAGGAACCTCTCGAGCCGTTGGTAGCGCTCCACCTCCGACCGGACACGTCATCTGGCCCTGCGTTGAGGCTGCTGCGCATGCATACCGCCAGGGTGCTCACCACGCAGATGCCAGAGACGCGCCGATCGCGGCTGCCTCGCTTGCACACGTGTCCACAGACCTCTCCGGTTGACCACTCGGAGATCGGCAGGGCGCGAATTCGCATTTCGGTTCTCCTCAGAGACAGAAGGCCCACTCGGCATGCTGCGAGGCAACGCCAACATGTGGCATAAAAGTGCACTCCTGCCACGGAGAGTCACTCGGTGCAGCCGCGCAGCGGGCTCGTGGCATCACCCGATCCGTGTGGAGTGCACGAGGTGCTCGGCAACGGGTGCAGCCCTGATGCGAGCCGTGCTGGCATGCTCACGCTGTGCGCCAAAGGCTCGCCACCGCCAGGGTCACAAACCTGGTCCGCAACGCGATTGTGGCCCTGGTAGGGTGGCTTCCTCGATGGCTTGTGACCACGGCGAGCGAACATTTAGCGACCGGCTGCGCAGCCCGACGCCGACCTGGCTCACGGGACCCACAAAGCAGCTATCGCGCAGCGCCCGTCGCTACACGTAGACAGTGAACACTGGATACGTCCAACGGCGTCCAACTTGGTAAAATTCGGTCCAGCTGATTAACCCTGGTAAGTGGACAAAAGTATGCGTTTTTTGGCCTCCCCTCCCTAACATTAGCCGGCCAAAATGTGCTCCTACCGGCTAATATTAGGGAGGGGGGGGCGGTCGGGTGTCAGACCTAGCGCTAGGCGTGCGAGGCTGACGTATTTTGGACAATCCACCTACCAGGGTTAAGGGGCAAAGTCGGCTTTCCCAAAAAGGCCTGTTTTCTCGTTTTTCATGCACACCCGGACACAGCCGAGCCTCAGGCGTCCAAATCGGGGGCTGTGGGGTAGACACGGCACCGGAGGCTTGGCCCGGGGGCGAAGTGAGGGGCGGCGAGGGCTATCGCGAGCACCAAGGCGACTTGCGGGAATCACTGCTGCACACCACTGGCGCCCAGTCCGACGGCCTGACGGCGACTCATGGACTTTTCACGGGGGGGGAGGCTGCCCACGTGTTGCGTATGACCTATGCGCGTGTAGCGGTTGCCGTATCGCCAGTGTTGAAGTGATTGTTGAAGTTATCTTTCGCTGGGGGCAGCCCGGCAAGGCTACTGCGAGGCCGCAGCAGCAACACACAAATACGGCCGCCGGGGACCGATCGGCCTAGACGGCTAGCGCATGACCAGGGGAGCTGGCAGACGGTCCTCACGGACCAAGACACATAGCTGAGAGGGCACCTCCGACGCTCAGCCACCAGTAGCAGTATATCTCTCAGCTGAGCCTGGAGTTGAGGCTCGGGCCGTCACGGGAGGGGAGCACGGTTTCATCGGAACTGTCGCGCAGACACGAGCGGCAGCACGCGCCAGCGCGATGGCAGGGGTCGAGTTGCGATCGCCTATGCGTTGAACAGAGGAGTACTGGCTCCTCTCTGCCTAGAGACTGCAGTGGCAGTGTGGAGCCGCAGCCGATGCCGCCCGCTCAGACCAGCCGCAGTGACTGCGCCGCGAGCGACGTGAGCGTGTCCAGGCTGACAGACAGGCGCAGGCAGCGAGGGCCGAGCGCAGGCGCAGCGGCGCACGCAGCGAGGCGCCTGTCAAGCAAGATCCGCACGCCGGGAGCGTCGCTCGGCGTTCAATTGAGGCGCGCCAGATCCTCGCGAGATTCTCTGACGCAAGCTTTCCTACATATCTATTTTTGTACTCTTTGCTGTACTTTGGGGACGTTATATATTGTAAGTACCCGTCCTCAAAGTACAGAAGAGAGTACAGATTTCCCCTCTGCGAAGCCTGCCTTTACATAGTAAAAAAGAAAACCAGGGCGGCTTTTCCCCTGTTCACGCCCTCACACAGGCCAAAGTTGGACCGCGCGAGATCGCCCCCTCGCGCCGTCCGTCGGGCCCGAGCTGTATGTCCGTGCCAAAGGCCTCTCCCGCCCATCGATCGCCTCTGGGCTGACTCGTGCAAGCGGTTCTCCGCGTATCGATGGTGGCCAGTAGCCGGCACTGGTTTGCCGGATGCTGCAGCACACGATAGCTGTGACGCGACAGATACCCCTCTGTGCTGCTGAGCGGGTCCCCGACGCGTGCGCGTGGACGGAATTCGACCCGCGAGGAACCTCTCGAGCCGTTGGTAGCGCTCCACCTCCGACCGGACACGTCATCTGGCCCTGCGTTGAGGCTGCTGCGCATGCATACCGCCAGGGTGCTCACCACGCAGATGCCAGAGACGCGCCGATCGCGGCTGCCTCGCTTGCACACGTGTCCACAGACCTCTCCGGTTGACCACTCGGAGATCGGCAGGGCGCGAATTCGCATTTCGGTTCTCCTCAGAGACAGAAGGCCCACTCGGCATGCTGCGAGGCAACGCCAACATGTGGCATAAAAGTGCACTCCTGCCACGGAGAGTCACTCGGTGCAGCCGCGCAGCGGGCTCGTGGCATCACCCGATCCGTGTGGAGTGCACGAGGTGCTCGGCAACGGGTGCAGCCCTGATGCGAGCCGTGCTGGCATGCTCACGCTGTGCGCCAAAGGCTCGCCACCGCCAGGGTCACAAACCTGGTCCGCAACGCGATTGTGGCCCTGGTGTGGTGGCTTCCTCGATGGCTTGTGACCACGGCGAGCGAACATATGGCGACCGGCTGCGCAGCCCGACGCCGACCTGGCTCACGGGACCCACAAAGCAGCTATCGCGCAGCGCCCGTCGCTACACGTAGACAGTGAACACTGGATACGTCCAACGGCGTCCAACTTGGTAAAATTCGGTCCAGCTGATTAACCCTGGTAGGTGGACAAAAATATGCGTTTTTTGGCCTCCCCTCCCTAACATTAGCCGGCCAAAATGTACTCTGACCGGTTAATATTAGGGAGGGGGGGGGCGGTCGGGTGTCAGACCTAGCGCTAGGCGTGCGAGGCTGACGTATTTTTGGACAATCCACCTACCAGGGTTAACTACTACGTGGAGTTCATCCCCTGATGAACGACTCATGGTCAAATTGCCCATCTCGACTTGCCCGTTGTAAACATCACTAGGGAGAGTTGATTGGCGCTGGCGCCTGCTGTTGACAAGTGGGATCATCTGCCCCCAGCAGGCGTTTGACCAAAATAGTTAGAGGCTGCGCAGGCCGTCCCGTTTGCTGTTTGAAACGCCTGTTGCGCTGGCCCGCTGCGCGCGCGCGCTGGCCGCTGCCGGGGCTACTGTCTCACTCTCACGTGCCGCAATATGTGTCACACACGGCGGCTTCTGCCACCTCTCGATTGGTTCTACTTTCTACGCACACCTACCGGGGAAGGGGCGCTTGGGAGCGGGGGCGGGGGCGGGGGCGGGGGCGCGCAGCGCGGCTGCGCGGCGCGCGCAACAGAGGGTAGGGTGGGGAAGACGGCGAGGAGGGGGCGGCGGCGGCGGCGGCGGCGGCAGCGCGCGCGCGGCGCGCGCGACGGGGGGGCGGAGCAGCGACCGCTGGCGCGGCCGCTGCTCCGTCTGTGCCAGGGACGCGCGCTCTGCGCCGCTGCAGAGCGCGCGCGTCAGGGCAAGGGGCATGCGTGGCGGCGCGGGACGCGTGGCGGCGGCGGCGAGCACGCTCCGTGAGCGGTGAGGCGGCCGGGAGAGGGCGCGGCGGGTGACGGGTCTAGGGAGCAGCCCACACCCGGCGTCGCTTTTTGAGCGACGCCTGTGGTACGCCTGCGCAGGGGCCGCAGGGCGGTCAGTTGTGGGGCGAGGCGGTGCCGGCCGCGGGCCGGGTGCAAGGCGCCGGCCTCGGCGCCGCCTCGGCGCGCCGCACGGGCGCGGCGAGCCTCTGAGCGGGAGCCGAAGGTTTGCCGCGGTGGGAGGTGGTAGGGAGGGAGGGAGGTGGGGGTGATTTGACTTTGCCGCAGAGGCCGTCCCTAGCTGTGAACAGCAAAACGGGACAGTATCCAAATTTCCCTACTCCAGTTGAGGCTGCCCTCGGACCCGAGAAGGTCTTTTCTCGCAGCTGCGAGACATGCTTTCTCGGAGCGGGGCATCCAAAACAACAGGGCGGAAGGGAGGGGTGACCATTACGCGCAGCGCAGGAGGGGTGCCCCTAAGGGGGCACAAAGGTAGCTCAAAGGGGAGTGAACAAGACGCCGCACAGGCGACGTGCACGCTCGCCGCCTGCGCTCGCCGCGTCGCTCTCTCCCTCCCCTTCTTTGCTTGAACCCACCACACCATCCCCTGTCACCTCCGTGTGTGTGTGCCCCCAGCAGGCGTTTGACCAAAATCCAAATTTCCCTACTCCAGTTGAGGCTGCCCTCGGACCCGAGAAAGAAAAACGGCACATATAATCGGTTTAATAATCCCAGAGAATTCTTTTTCCGAATCTTCTCTGGATCACCGTCTACCGATTCTACATATGCCCATCTCACGCCGCTTGGTAGCGACGGCAGAAAGAGAAAACCAGAATTTTCCCGACCCTTCTCTGGATCACATTGCCGCTCTACATCAGGAGCGCGACAGCAAAGAGCCGCGCCGTCGCCATCGGCGCCACCTCCTCCCAGGCGTTGGAGGCCGGGTCGTACCGCTCAACCGTGTTAGCCGGCCGGTCGACCTCAGCCTCCTCCTCCTCCTCGACCCTGCCGCTCACAGCGTACAGCTTGCCTTCCAGCGCCGCCACCCCGGCACCGAGCATGGCTGGCAGCGGAGGACCGCGGCACCTCCGCTGGCTGTCTAGCGCCGAGCCCCACTCTACTCCTCCTTTCCGCGCGGGGCGGCCGCTCCTTTGCCCCTGCCGTCCCGGATCTGTTCCGCGGCGTCAAACTCCGCGTTCCAGGAGGCGGGCTTGCCGAAGCAGCAAGCGAGGAGGCGGTCGATGGAGATGGTCGGCGCCGCGTAGTGCGACGTGAGTCTCCGGTGGTGCTCGAGGTGGTCCGCCGTCGACACAAAGAGCCACGGCACGAGCCTGGCGGAGGCGTCGGCCAGCTTTGGCGTGTGGATCAGGAGGTTGTTGAGCGAGACCACTCCGACGGCGAGGAACATCGACATGCGATCGGGCCGGAGGAGCTGCGGTTGGGAGGAGCTGCGGAGGGTGGGCGGGCGGGAGAGGGGGGGGGGGGGGGGGCACGCGCGCCTGCGCTCCCACCACGAACGGCAGCATGTACGCCAGCGCGTACTCCGCCAGGCTGACCGCGTTGGCCGTCACGGGCACGACGATGCAGTTGAAGCGGTGGTGGAAGCGGTGCGCCCAATACATCGCGCGCGTGTGCATCCAGCGGTGCGCGCAGTAGTAGCCGATCGAGTGGCCGACGATGACGGCAAAGACCATCGCGACGCGTCCGGCCGCCGTGAAGGGCTGCGACATCCAGCGGTTGGAGACGAGCTCGTACAGCGGCGGCCCAAGGACGGCATTGTTGACAACGTTGCAGAGGACGCCCTGCGCGTAGAGCGTGCGGCCGCCCTCCCTCTTGCAAACCTTTCGCACCTCGTCCATCGACATCAGCTCGAGAAGTGCCGTCAGGATCAGCGTCGCCCACGTCATCACCCAGCCGTCGTTGGACATTGAGTACGCTCGTGCAAAGAAAGTATCCTGCAACGGCACGTCGGGAGCCTCGTTGAGCCGCGAGGCCATCTCGAGCAGGCCGGGAGCGCAGCCGAAAAGCGCAGGGCCGGTGGCGTCGTTGGACACAGAGCAGTTCACCGACATTCTCCTCCGTTGTTCGCGCCGGTCGCGGCCGTCTACCTACTCGAGGTACCAATCAAAGAAAGAATTTTACAGCCGGCCCCTCGCACAACACCGCGACTCCCGTTCGCATGTGTCCCTGATCGTCCTTACAAGATCCTGCTCGCGCAGGTGGGGACCCTGTCCTTCTCCCACCCCTCGTTTGGCGTGTCCGTTGTATTTATTTTATTTATTTATACCGCGAGGTGGCATGAAGGTTGCAGCGAAAAGCGGCGAGAGACTGCGAAGAGAGAGAGGAAGAGGCAGACTCCCTAGGGTGGGCGACGGCTAGCGCACCACACACCTCTCCTTAAAATCCCTGTGTGGTGGCGGCGTGCCGTCCTCCCATCCCATCAAGGAGCGGGCGCTCGCGCACCAGGTCCAGGCACTGCTCAAGCGCTCGCCCGGCCTCTGCGCGCCGAACGTGACAGTGCACGTCGTGCACGACCTCAACGTGACCAGCGAGCGGCTTGCGTCGCTCGCGGGCACGAGCGAGGCGGCGCCGGGCGGGCTCAGCGTCACCTTCCACGGCTACGACGGCGTGAGCGACTTCTTGGGCAACGACCGGCGCTGGGCGCTCTTTGCCGACGTCATGAGGTCGTCGCCGTGGGACTGCGCCTATGCGATCGACCTCAGCGACGTCGCCATCGTGCGGCTGCCGCCGTGCGCCGCGCTCCCCAATCGAGTGCTGTACGCAGCCGACGGCAACATCAAGGCGAGGGCGCGAAAGCGCCCTGCCCTCCGCTGCCCCGACTCCCGTCGAGGTTCGCCGCCCGCCCCCTCCTCAGGGGTGGCTCGAGTCCGCGACGCGCCGGACGGGCTGGGAGCAGCACCTCGGGCCCGACCTCGCCGAGTACCAGCGGTTCCTTCAGGACCGCGGCCGCGTGGACGCCATCAGCTGCGCGATCGTCGGCGGCCCGAGGGCGGCATTCGAGCCGGCGATGGAACGGCGCAGCGGGCCGGCACCTGCCCTCCCGCGGACTGCCCACGCCCCCCTCACCCCGTCCGCCCCAGCCCGGACAGTGTCGTCGCGCGATACGACCTGTTCAACCGCTTGGCGTCGGCGGAGCAGCGGATGGCGCCGGGGAGCGATATGGTGCTGTGGACCGTCGAGGCGCTCAAATACCCGTCGCTGCGAGGCTACCCCGACGGGCCAGCCAGCTTGCCGCCGTGGGCGACGCCGCACACGGGGCCGCGAAAGGTGTGCCCGGACCACAACTGCCGGCACAGCTTCCTGAGGAAGACGCGCGGCTACTACTGGTTTGGGCACAAGGTACCGCAGGGCTGGATCAACGAGTACCTGCGCTTCTACCAAGAGTGCGAGGTGGGAGGGGGCGGCGAGGGCGGGGAGGAGGGGGCGAGGAGAACAGACGGATGACAGGTGAGTCTCCATAGCATTGCGTGGATTCTGCTTGTGCATGAATGTGTGGGTCGTGTTTCCTCAGTGTGTGTGTCTTCGTCTCTTGAGTCTACTTGTCCGCCCCTCTCGAGTGAGTTTTTTTCGTCACAAGTGAAAAGACGAAATCATCACTTCTCACACAGTCCGACTGACACGTGACAGTACCAAACAGACTAGCTAATAAAAACCGCATGGTCGTTTGCGCTTTTCTAGAAGGAAGCAAAAGTGGGGCCCCACGGAAGCGCACCACGGAAGAAGCAATCTGAGGAGGGAGATGAAGCAGCGCAGCGCGGGGGCGGCTCCCTGGCCAGTTGCGCTCCCTGTGGCCAGTGCGAGAAGGACCGTGCATTTCTTCTTCATTGAGGGCTTGGCGGTGCCGCGGCGCTGCCTTGCGGTGGTCGAGTCCATCACAACTCCGCGGGTGGTGTCGCCGGCAAGGCGGCCAAGCGCGGGAGAGTCTGCAGGCTACGGCGGCGGCGGCGGAGACAACGTCACACTCTGAGCGCGCGCAAAGGGAGGCGGCAGCCGCAGGGGCGGCGGTGGAGCGGGCGCTGAGCGCGGAGGAAGCGGCGACGGCAGCGCTGACGGATTGGCCGTGAAGATGGAAACGGAGACAATGATACAAGGCGCGACAGCCCGCACCTCGCCCCGCAGCCTCTCACCTGACCTCGCTGCATGGTGCGCTAGGGTGTGTACCCGCTGAGCGGCTGAATGCGCAATCGGCCGCGGCGCACGCGTCGTCAGCAAAGGGGTTTGGGGACAAGGCGGGCGAGTCGGTGCAGCGCGCGAGAGCGGCAGTGGCGAAAGCAGCAGCGGCAGAGCAGGCGGCAGAGACGGAGGCGGCCGGGGCAAAGGCTCGGGCGGAGGGGGCGCGGCAACGGCGGCCGCGGAAGCCGCCATTGCCGCAGCCCGGACGGAGGCGGCCACGGCCATTGCCGCAACAGAGGCGCAGGCGGCCGCGGCGCAGGCGCAGGCGGAGAAGGCAACGGCGGAGGCGGCGGCCGCGGCCGCAAAGGTGGAGGGGTCGCGGACCGGCGGCAGTGCGCCCGTCCTCTCGGTCTCGTTGGATGTCGATCTCTCGCTGCTCGGATCGTTCTCAAACGGCTGATCCAGGCGGCGGCGCCAATGCTGGTGAGGGTGTTGTTGACGTCACGGCGGTGGCGGTGGCGGCCGCTGCTCCGGTAGCGCTCTCACCCTCAATGCGGGAGTCGTGAGCTAGCTGACTACTGAATAGGCGGCGGCGTCGGTCACGGCGGGCGCGACGGCGGGATTGCTGGGCGTTGGCTCAAGCTTCAACGGCGGTGGCGGCGGCGTCTCCGCTCCCGCCCCTGCCTTCAGCTGTGGAGCCGCTCCCGCCGGCCTCGGCAGCGGTGCCTGTGGCGGATGTTGTGGCGGCGTCGGCAGCCGCTGCGGCTTTGGCGCAGCAGCCGTCCTCGCAGAGGCCTCCGGAGCTTTGGCAGCAACAGCCGCCGTGTGCAGCCGATCGCGGGCGGATTACGAGGAAGAGAGCACGACTCAAGGCGCGAGCGGATTACGAGGCGCGACAAGCCGGCCAGCAGCACCCCCACTTCCACGCGTGGAACGACCCGCCGCCTCCCGGGCACGGGCCGCCGTGCTAGAGCAGGGGGGAGTGGGGGAAGGGGTCTCGACAGTGTGGGTGTGCGGAGGTGGGGAGGTGGGGAGGAGGGGGCGGTGTAGGTACAGTAGGTTCTGTGCCGAGCGCAGCGTCGGGCGCCGACCGGGAGCGAGGTCGTCGCACTGCTTTCGCCGGGCTGGGGCGCTCAGGCGGACGCGGGCGCAGGCTAGGTCCCGTCCGCGGCGGATGCGCGGGCGGGGCGGCGCGACCCACTGGGCACTCTCGGATGAGCTGGCGCCACGCACCGCGGGTGGCCCTCTCCGGTCCGAGCGTGTCGTCGGCGTGACAGCAAGCCACACTGTCACCGCCGCGCCGCCCCCTCACCGCCGCCGATGCCGCCCCACCGTCGCCGCCCAGGGCCGCCGCTGGGCTCGGCGTACGAGGCACCGACGGGTGCGATTCGCCACTCCAGAGCGTCGCTGCCACGTCTCACCGTAGGTACAGTAGGTTCTACGCCGAGCGCAGCGTCGAGCGCCGACCGGGAGCGAGGTCGTCGCACTGCTTTCGCCGGGCTGGGGCGCTCAGGCGGACGCGGGCGCAGGCTAGGTCCCGTCCGCGGCGGATGCGCGGGCGGGGCGGCGCGACCCACTGGGCACTCTCGGATGAGCTGGCGCCACACACCGCGGGTGGCCCTCTCCGGTCCGAGCGTGTCGTCGGCGTGACAGCAAGCCACACTGTCACCGCCGCGCCGCCCCCTCACCGCCGCCGATGCCGCCCCACCGTCGCCGCCCAGGGCCGCCGCTGGGCTCGGCGTACGAGGCACCGACGGGTGCGATTCGCCACTCCAGAGCGTCGCTGCCACGTCTTACCGTAGGTACAGTAGGTTCTGTGCCGAGCGCAGCGTCGGGCGCCGACCGGGAGCGAGGTCGTCGCACTGCTTTCGCCGGGCTGGGGCGCTCAGGTGGACGCGGGCGCAGGCTAGGTCCCGTCCGCGGCGGATGCGCGGGCGGGGCGGCGCGACCCACTGGGCACTCTCGGATGAGCTGGCGCCGCCAGCCAAAGTACGCACGCGGAGCGCGCGAGTAGCGTGCATGAGGCCCGCGTAGACCAGCTGAAGATGCATCGTGCTTGCACGGCTCGCGCAGCGTCGACAGCGGCGTTCTCGCGTCGCGGTCCGGTCCGGTCCGGTGCGATCCACGTTTTCAGCGCTTTCCTCGACGTCCAGCAGGGTGCGAGGGTGGGGTGGAAACGTGTTTGCATGGGGTCCTAAGCAGCCGTTTACGAACTATGCGGATTTCAACCGACCATGCGGTTTTTATTAGCTAGTCTGTTACCAGAAACCGGCTTTACGGGCTTCAGTAAACTCTAAAAGTGTCCTCGGGATCTTCGGCCGGCTCCGGCTGGGGCTCCGGCGGCTTGATCAGCTCGTCGAGCGGCTCGACGTCGAACCACTGTGTGCTCTCTAAAAACTCTTAAGTGGCTGAAAACTTGATTGTTGTTTTTTGAGCACCTCTAATAAAAGGGCCACAAAGTCTAGGGCGGAGCCAGCGGTAGTTGTAGCGGTGGTGCCGGCGTACTTGGGCGAGGCGCGTCGCTCGCCTCTCGCGCGCGCTCTTCCCGCCCGCCCCCGGGGCCGTCCCCACTGCTCCCCGTCCTGAAGTCGCGGTGACTCTTTACCCGAGCAAGCCGAACCTGCCTGCCTGCAGCCTCCCTCCCGCTGCGCCTGCCTTGGCCCTGTTGGGGTCTTGCGGCCGCCTCGGCAGCGCTGCTCCGCCCGCGCCGCCTCGCGCGGCGCCGCCCAGCAACGAGTTGGATGGCCTGAACCCGCCGCGGGCGGCGGCTGCGGGAGGCCGGGGCGCCGGCGCCCTTGGCGGGAGCGCAGGCGGGGGAGGAGGGAGGGGGAGCCGCCCCGCGGGCGAGGCTTCGCCGAGCCTCGGCCGGCTCCTGCTTGCGCCGTCCACTGCCGTGGAGCTGCTCTGCCCGAGCGGCCGCTTGGGCGCCTTTGCGTCGACGGCTCGCTGCTCGAGGAGCACCTCGCGCTCGACCGCCTTCTCCTCCTCCGCCGCCGCCTCTGCCGCCTCGCTCAGCGCCTTTGCCGTCGCGCGCATCGCCTCCGTGGCGCCAGACACCGCACCGCACCGCACCCGCCCCATCGCCGCCCGCACCCGCGCGGCGGAGTCGGCCGCCGCGTCGCGGACAGCGCCGACGGCCTCGAGCAGCGCCTGGCGCTTGGGCGCGTTCGGCTCGAGCGCGCTCCTCTCCGCCCACCTGGCATGCATCTGGCCCTTCTTGTCGAAGCGCCTCGCCGTCTCCGCCTCAACCTCTCTCGCCGCCGCCTCCGCCTCCTTTGCGAGCCTCTGCCGCCCGATGGCCAGGTCCGCCACCGTCCGCGTGTTTTGCTCTGCGCTCCGTCGCAGCAGCAGCACCCACTGCCGGGCGGCCCGGTGACGAACCCTCACCTCTGTCAGCTCCGCCGCCGTCCGCTTGTGCTGCGCCTCTCTCTCTCGCCAGTCGGCGAGCGCCGACTCGAGCCGCTCCAGCTCCGCCGCCGCGGAGAAGCGGCGCGCAAACGCCTCGCCCGCCGCCGCCGCCGCCGCCACCCGGCCCGCTTCCAGCTCGGACAACTCGGCGAGCTTGGCCGCCTTCCAAGGCTGGAGCGCCGCCGCGGCGCCCGCGGCAACCACAGCCTCCTCCGCGCTCGCCGCGGCCGCAGCGACCCTGCGATCCGCCGCCGCCGGCCTGGTGTCCGCCGCCGCCTGGTCGGCCGCGGCGCTCGCCGCGCGCTGTAGCGACGCCACCCGATCGCACGCCGCCACAGCCTCGCGGCTCCACTCGCCGCCTCCCGCCTCGCGGCACAGCGCGTCGGGGATCGCCAGCCCGACCCACCAGGCGCACTCGCGGGAGCGAGAGGGAGGCTGCAGCTGGCCGCCGAAGACCTGGTGCGCGAGCGCCTCGCGTTGCGACAGCAGCGCCGTGCGCCTCGCCGCGTCCGCCTCCCTCGCCTCGGCGAGGAGGCCCTCTCTCCACGCCGCCGCCGCGCCGATCAGCGACTCGATGGCCGCCTCGTGTGCGTCCGGCACGCCCTCTGCGAGGGCGGCGGTGGCGGCCAGCTGCGCCTCCCGCCACGCGCCGATGCGCGCGAGCGCCGCCTCTGTCGGGTCGGGCGGCGCCGTGTGAAGCCACGCCTCCGCCGCCCTCCGCGCGCGTGCCGTCGCCGCCGCCGCTAGCCGCCTCGCCGCGGCCTCGCACGCCGCCTGGTCCCGCTGCCGCGCGTCGTGCGCCGCTGCAGACGCCCGCGAGTGATGCCGCCGCCGGCTAGCCTCGATGGCAGCCCGCAGGGAGGCGACGCCCCGCTCGCGCTCGCTCTGGAAGGCGGCGAGGCAGAGCTGCCGCCGCACTCCCTCGTACCCGGCGGCGAGGCAGCGCGCCTAGGGGTGAGGGGTGTGGGTGTGGGTGTTGGGGTGGGGGTGAGGGTGAGGGTGAGGGGTGTGGGTGTGGGTGTGGGTGTGGGGGTGAGGGTGAGGGTGAGGGTGAGAGCGAGGGTGAGGGTGAGGGCGAGGGTGAGGGCGAGGGTGAGGGTGAGAGTGAGGGTGAGAGTGAGGGTGAGGGTGAGGGTGAGGGTGAGGGTGAGAGTGAGGGTGAGAGTGAGGGCGAGGGTGAGGGTGAGGGTGAGGGTGAGGGCGAGGGTGAGGGTGAGGGCGAGGGTGAGGGTGAGGGTGAGGGTCAGGCTCTGCAGCGCTCCTCGCCCAGCGGCGTGGCGTCCCAGCCCGCAGCCTGGTGCGACGCGGCGTCGAGGCATGCGTCTGCGTCCGCGGTCCTCTGCGCGAGCCAGTCGGCGACCTCGATGCCGCGCTCCCGCCGCCAGTCCCCCGCAGCCTCGAGGAAACTCGCCAGCGCCTCGCCGCCACCGCCTGCCTCCTCGCCGCCACCGCCCACCCCCTCGCCGCCCTCCCCGTCACCGCCCGCCCCCTCGCCGCCCTCGCCGCCACCACCCGCCCCCTCGCCGCCCTCGCCGCCGCCTGCCCGCGCCGCCGCGCCGCCCGCCTCCGCGCCGCCCGCCTCCGCGCCGCCCCCCTCGGCGCCGCCGCCCTCCCCCGCCCACCTCTCCCGCGCCCTGGCGGCCTCCCTGCCGAACGCGTCGGCGACGGCCGCCCACGCCTCGGCCAACCGAGCGAGCTCCGCCTCCCTCCCCCGCTGCCACTCCGCCACCGCCTCGGCCGCCTCGCGGCGGCAAGCGCGCCGCATCGCTGCCTGCTCGTGCCACGCGTCCGCCCACGCCTCCTCCCACGCCGCCTGCGCCTCCTCCCACGCCTCCACCGCCTCGGCGAATGCGCCGCTGTCCATCCTCTCCACCTCGTCGTCGGACGAGTCCGAGAAGGTTCCTACAGGGGGACACGTCCGCGACACGTCCGCGACATGTCCGAGACATGTCCTCGCCGTCGGACGAGTCGGAAGACGCCGCCAAAGTCAGCGGCCGCCGGGCGCGGCGGCGGCGGCGGCGCGACGCACGCCACCGGCCGCCGGCAGTTTGGACACCAGCGCTGCCGCTCCAGCCACGAGCCGATGCAGCTGCTGCAGAAGGAGTGCCCGCACAGCAAGACGCGCACACCCGGCGGCGGCGGCTGCGCGGCGTTGGCCGCCGGCAAAGTGGTCAGGCAGATCGAGCACGTCTCAAGCTCCGCAGCAGCCTTCTCAGCCGCAGCCTTCTCCGCCGCAGCCTTCTCTGCCGCCGCAGCCTTCTCTGCCGCCGCCTTCTCAGCCGCCGCCTTTTCTGCAGCAGCCCTCTCTGCAGCAGTAGCCTTCTCCGCCGCCGCCCGCATTTCCGCATCCGCCCTCTCCTCCGCCGCCCTCTCCTCCGCCGCCCTCTCGGCCGCGGCCTTCGCGGCGGCGGCCCTCTCCGCCGCCGCCCTCTCCGCCCTCTCCGCTGCCTCCCGTGCCGCCTCCGCTGCAGCCCTCTCCTCCGCCTCTGCCCTCGCTTTCGCCCGAGCGTCCGCCTCCGCCTCCCTCGCCGTGGGCTGTGGCGGCGGTGCTCGCCGCTTGGGCGGCTTGTACGGCCGCGAGGCGGCGGTCGAGGCGGATGTGGCAGGCGACGCGGCGGACGAGGCGGCGGCAGGCTGTTCAGCAGCACGGCTCGCCGCCTCGTAGAATCCATTCAGCCGCTGGAAGGCCATGGTCGCACGAGGGTCGTCGCTGCGATCCGGATGCACAAGAAGCGACATGCGGCGGAACGCCTTGCGCACGTCTGCTGGGGCTGCGGACGCAGGGAGCCCGAGGGCCAAGTAAGGCCTCACTCCTGGCCGGAGGAGCAGCTCGATGGCGGCGGCAGAGGTCATCGCCCCTCGGGCGTGCAGCCTCGCACGCTCCCGCTCTGCCGTTGTGCACAGGGGCGGGGACTTGCGACCGGCACCGGGGCGGGGGGGGGGGGGGGAGGGGCGGCTAGTGTCTATCTCAACCATAAAGTTACTTCAGGAAGTAAGTATTCACTGCGTCATAGCACGGGCTCGCACCCCCCAACCGCTTACTAGGAACCCCTCGCCTTATTGTTTGACCCCCCTCAGGCCACACGGTGCGACTGTGCGGGTGTAGAGGTAAGGTAAGGTAAGGTAAACTTCTCCACACACACGAGGTGGTGGGGCAAGGGGGGGCAACCCTCGCGTCTCCACGTCTGAGGACAGGAGCCCCACGGCATTCAAAGTGCAAGGCCCGTTGCGCGTGGGTGAGCGGTGTGTGTGTGTGTGTGTGTGTGTGTGTGTGTGTGTGTGTGTGTGTGTGTGTGTGTGTGTGTGTGTGTGTGTGTGTGTGTGTGTGTGTGTGTGTGTGTGTGTGTGTGTGTGTGTGTGTGTGTGTGTGTGTGTGTGTGTGTGTCTCACGTCACTGCATCCTCTGCCGGTTCCTCCCGTCGCCTCTTCTTTGTTCGAATGTTTTTCAATCCATCCTTCACGAAGCCCTCCCATGTAGCTAGCGTTCTTTGCGAATGTCTCGAAATGGCCAGCAGGCGCTGTCTGCTCGGCTGTAGATCCGGTGCGAGGATTGTATGCTGCGCAAGCCCAACGGCCTGTCACTGCGGAGCACATTCCTGCCCACCAGCTTCACTTTGTGACCGGTGGGCCGATAAATAGGGTTCAAACACGCCCGGGAAACAGCCCAAACAAAGTTACTTCATAGTTACTTCGGCGGCATTCTCGCGCACATGTCGGCCGAGCGCGCGCCCCCTTCTGCCGGCAAACGGTCTCCTGAGAGCCCTCCTACACCCTTGCCACCCCCCCCCGACCCAAGCCAGCATCAGATGCTCCGCCTGGCCCCGCGCCCGCGTCTCCCGGGCGCCGGAGGCGCGGCGAGGCGAGCTTCGGACGGCAGCCCTCTTCTGGATGCCGAGGCGGAGGCCGTGCACTCGGGCAGCACCTGCGCAGTGCATGGCATAGCAACGGCGGCCGGTGCTGGGTTGCAGAACGCGTGGTCGGCATTGCCGTTCGGGCAGCAGGTCACGCAGTACCTCGACAGGCTCCGCAGTACCAGCCCGCGGAGATGCCCTTTTGGCACCAGCTGCACTGGTGGTGCTCGTTGGTGTAGTTGTCGAACTTTGCCATCTCATGCATCTCTGGGGCAGCTCTCGGGTCGGCCCCGCCGGCTGCACTTGAGGCGGCACCGTACTCAGCCTTGCCGAGCGTGAGGAGGGCAAACGCCACCTTCTTGTACGTCGGGTGCCAGTAGAGCAGCGCCTTGTACACGTTGACCTCCCAGAAGCCCAGCCCCTCGGCAAAGTGGCGGTGCACCCAGTTGTTGGTGGCCCATGCGTCGGCCATCGAGACAAGCCCCTGCCGAAGGTGGTTGTGGACGTCGACGACCGAGTAGAACTTGTGGTACATGGCGTGCACGCAGGTCGTCGCGATGCTGAGGGTGTACTTGATGCGCCGGCCAATGGCGTCGGTGACGGTCCACGACTTTTGGTAGTCGTCTGCAGGCTTCATCGTCGAGGCGGTGCTCACCACCAGCACGGGCTTCTTGGAGTTGTGCCCCGCGGCCAGCACCTCGACCGTGGCGCCGCCGGGCCTTCAAAGTTTTGGGTGTACGCGTACGACTCGCCGCGCGTCTGCTTCGGGCACAGCTTCGACCTCTTGTCGTAGCCGAGCTTGTTGAGGAGCAGGTCCTTGGGGTAGTGCTTGTGCGCCGTCTTGACGTTCATCAGAGACGGAATCACCACTCGCCCCCGAGACGCGCACTTTTCCAACAGCCGCAGGGTGAGCGCGACGCTCCTCCACGGACCGTCTGCACCGAGCTTCCTCTTCTGCTCGGCGCACTTTGGCTTTGTCGCCATCGCCTTCTTCCCCTCCCACACCTCGAACCAGATGAGGATGCCGCACATCGCGCAGCAAAGGGTGTGGAGCTCGAGTCCTTTGGGCGTCGGCTTGCGCTGCACCACCATGAAGCCGGGCATGCCGCGTCCCAGCCACTTGACCGTCGGCGGTGTCGTGGTGGGGCCTCCCGTGACGAAAAAACGACCAACGCACCGGGCGCCTGCCCGAGAACTTGAGTTCGAAACCGCAGGAGGCATAGAGCAAAAATTGAGCCCGCTCAGGTGTGAAAAAATTATAAGGGTCAACCTGCCGATTTCGAACCGGAGGCCACTCGATCGACGAGGTGTCACCGGCCGACGTCGGCAGAGTAGATGTTGGCAGACCGGTAGCGTTGAACCGGCGGCCCATACCCGTAGCACATTACCGAGGGAACATAATTGGGTGTGGTCGTGAGGGCCTGCACGGGCGAACGTGGGCGTCGAGCTTCGAAGATTTGTCATTTGTGGCGCATCTCTCAAATTGACCCGCCGTGTCTATACGTCTCTCTGTCTGACCACATCTTCCTGTGACCCCTTGTATCTCGCGTATCCCGCCGTATCCCGCGGGCCCCTGTGAAGGCTTCGGGCCCGGTCTAACTATGATCTATGTAAGACAACCGGAGGCGCTGGAGTACGCAGGCAAGTGTGGTGCATGGACATGCACATGGCATGGACATGGACATGGACATGGACGGGACCATTTCGACTCGAGAGGGTACTCAGGGGACCACATTGGGCGAGGCTGCGCCGCCTTCCGTAGAGCGCGCACGATTTCCTTTTGCGGTGTATCAGCAGGGGGCGGGATCAGCGCGGGAGACATGCGTGCATGCAC